GCCGGCGTTTTCCCTATGAGCAATCAAGGAGACAGAGAAGCTGGTCCATTATCATCTTCTGACCAGCCAGCAGAATTTGCGCGAACAACCAGAAGCGGCAAACTATACAACATCGGGTTTCTTAAAAATAGTGAATCCAGAAAAGACATTGTCGCCTACCTACCATATTGGTCTGAAAAACAGCTGGTGGAATTAGGTAATATCCATTATTATCTTCTTAAACTGCACCAGCTGCGCAAAGAACACTTCGCAGTTATTCCTGCTTCAGGTGTTCCTTTTCTCGAAAACGGTGAGATTATCTTGCAGACCTGCGAGCCTAACTTGGTTGAAGCTACACGGCGATTCTACCGTCATTTTGCCATTCAAACAATCACGGATCGCCAAGAGGACACCGGTTTCGTCTCTGATATCGACCACACAACCTCCCTTCTGGACATCTCTCTCCCTAGCATCACTGCAGCGGCCGACACTCACCAAACTACAAAAACAACCTCTTCTGCGACTACCACTACTACTGCTACCACCACTTCAGCTTCTCTCTCAACCACCACAACAACCACTGCTTCGTCTTCAACTCCACACGACGGTTCGGGTTCAGGACAGCCACCTTTACCTCCACAGCACACTACAACTTCGCACTCTGGCTCCAACATGGCGGCCAGACCCAACCTCAACAAAATCAAGGTTCCACAGTGGATGCCTCAGGAGCCTGGCGCTTGGTTCCGCATGCTGGAGCTAATCTTTGTGCGCGAAAACATCACCGATGAGGCAGATAAGGTTCTTCTGGTATTGCAAAATGTTCCACCCTCTGACACTCAGAAGATTGTCTCCCTGGCTTGGAAAGCCAGCTATGTTGCCGGTGATTACGCTAACATCAAAACAGCTATCATCGGAATGAACACAATCTCAGATGACGAGAAGCTGAACCGCCTTTTTCACTCCGAGTCTCTTGGAGATCAACGGCCTTCCGAGCTTTACTACAAAATGAAAAATCTGGCCGACAGCGTGGTTGGTGGTGCGGTACCTACGAACGTGGTTTTCAATCGCTGGGTAAATATGCTTCCCACTAACTGCATCAGCTTTGCCAAGGCTCTCGCCGACAACTTTGACCCAGCTAAACACCTTGCGAGCATTGACGACCTGCACGCCCTGCTTGCAAATCGCAGTGGAAATCATGTTAGCGGTATCTCCACTTCTAGCCCTTCACGCAATCGCTCTACTTCTCGCGGTCGCTCTGCTTCCCGCAACCGCTCCAGCTCACGTGATCGTGCTTCCTCACGTGACCGCTCTTCGTCACGTGGTCGCTCCAGCAAAGGTGGCTCTTCCTTCGACAAAGGCTACAATCCAGACGGTCCATTTTGCTGGTATCACTTCCGTTTTGGCAAAAAGGCCCGGAAGTGTAACAAAGACGGTTGTCCCCTTCGCAAGAAGGGAAACGACAACCAGTAGCTAGTAATGCGACGCTAGCTACTGGTATTGCAAGTCGCCTCTTTGTTCTCGACTTCAACACGGGCGAGCAGTTCCTCATCGACACCGGCAGCTCAATTTCGACACTGCCGGTGCAAAGCAAAATTCCTCGGGACAGCTCGGCAATCGCAGCTTTTGCAGCTAACGGCACGCGCATCGCAACACATGGGCTCCATGTTCAGCGAATCGACCTTGGTCTTCGACGTGATTTCTCCTGGTCGTTCACACTCGCGGACATTCCTCACCCAATTCTCGGGATTGACT